ACACACACACACGTTCAGACACAAAAGGGAAGATGAAAGAGGGCTCGACCTTAAAAATACTATTTACAGAACCCAGACAAACAGGTTAAAGCTGTGCGCCTGTTTTTATGCGAATGACTTTGGTGTAGATACCTGTGTCTATTTCGGTTTTCAAGTAGAACAGGATGACGCCATTCCACGCGGGTACGAATGAATGGAAAAGGCTCACCTTGAAGAATCAGTTTGTTGCAGGAACAGTGTCGTGTATGAAATATCTTTAGCTTGTGGGTCTACGTATATAGGTCAAACATAAAGACGCATTAACGACAGATTAAATGAGCATAAAAGGAATGCCAAGACCAATACAACGGCCTCTGAAATAGCTAAACGTGTTCATAAGCAACTCTAAAGTTGTGGTTGGGGCCATTTTTAGGGAATAAAGTGTCCAAAATGCAAAACATTACTTTTTCTTTTTCTGCATGGTTGTGTTTTTTTTGTTTTTTTTTTGCTTCACGATTCCGGGATCTGTTAGGGCTTGTCTCTCTAAGTTTTCGATGAGTCATGGCTAGGAAAAAGGCTTATAACGTGGGGGCGCGGCATGCAGCACAGGGAAGGCGCTCCTCGACGATAGAAGGTGGCCTGCAGGCGAGCATTCCCCAAGAGAAACAAAGGGCCCGAGCCCCGCAAGTTCAGTCTTCCCAGCTTCTCAGGCGTTCATGTCCGCCCACCGTCTTTTCTGCGTCCCGTTCAATATTATAACGTTAACAGAACGCCTTTCCTCATCGGGTCGGGAAGCAGGCTGCTTAAGAATAATCCCTAAGTCACATTAACTAGGAACCCATCTCTAAGTTTGGCCTTGACAACGGGAAACCTTTTTGCTGTGGTGTTGCAACCAAGATAAGAAATATGATTATTTTTAATTATTAAAAATTGCAATGGTTTCAACAGTTGTGGGCGTATTCCACAGTGGACCATTTTATAAAATCGCCGGTGCAAGAGATAAATATGTATACAGTACGTGTTCAAGCGAGCGCGGGCACTCCCTCGATTATGAAAGCTAGATCCCATTGGCTCTATTGAGCTGCAGTGACCCCCAACATCCCTTTGTGCCAGACATGTGCAAATTACTCAAAAAAGGTAGTTAAGTTAAGTTACTGAGTATCGACGCCAAAAGTAATTGGAGTAGAGTAGAAATTACGCATTGGTAATAGTGATTGAGTAAACTACTAACTACTCTAAAAAGTAGTGAGTTACTTTCAAGTTACCTTCGAAGTTACTTTTTTATATTTTTGTGGTGGCGAAATGAACAGCAGTTTTGATCAATGAAAAACCCTGCGAGCCTAAAATAAATGCAGTCTATTTATAGCTTGCGTTTTCGCCAAAATAGTTTATTCGCTCGCAGAAGCAATTGACTTTCAAAGTTCTTGATAGGACAGTTTTCCCCTTTTCCTTTTAAAGACGTCCCCAGCCAAGCTAAATAGACGTTCCACCGTGGCACTGAATGGAACGACAGCGTTGAATTTGAGAAACAGGCTGTGCAGGGTCGAGTAAGCGAGTGTCGGCATCTTAGGTGTCCATGACGAAACATGTGAGGTTTGCCTCGGGTAGAGGGTCTTTTATAACAAACTTTCCTCCGTCTTTCTTTTTTCTTCGTCAAGTTGAGATTGTTATGACTGGCCCCTCTTTATTCCGACGTCGTTCTGAGAGTACGCTGAGCGAGTGCAGAAGACCGTCAAGGGTTCAAGTCTCGCGCCACGACGATGAGGTCATCTGCGCGTCCCGTTGTAGTGCTAGTGCTACGCTACTGAAAAAAGAAATATTTTGGTCTAACAGAAGATGAACGGAAGTATACTTCGCCGCTGACGCCGGGTTCAACGAAAGGATTTCCCAAGGGTAACTCGCAATCCTCGCCGGCGTCTACAATATTCTGACGCGTCTGAAATCTTTTTTAACAAAGAGGAGGTCTCCCTGGCGTGGATGGTCGGAAGGACATGAAGGATTACGTGAACAAGCATCGTCGCTCGTATACACGAACTCATCTCTGTAACGTCACGGCGCGGTGGTGGCGCGTCGGTCGCACTTCCGGTCTGGGGCTGTGGGCAGAAGTTCCCATGCCAGACGTGTATTCCTGCGTTGTTTTGAAAGGGACCAGACAAAAACCTGCCTCTCGTCAAAACGCCGGGACTGGGGCCGAACCAAAAGTGTCGAGAAAGGTTTGAAGGTCAGTTTTCACGCGCTCGGTATGTCCGAGAACGCGGATATGTGCTGTAAAAAGGGAAAACCAGACGCCGTTGGACCACGATTACTTGGGCGGGAAGCACTTTGGGTTGAATTCACGGATACTTGTGGTCATCAGATTTATTTGTTTTGTTCCAAAATGAACTCCGGAAAACCGTCAAGTTGTATGGACCACCTGCGGACTACGTTCAGTGCGTCTTCAAGTTCAAACGGTCGCCTAATCGTTCGAACTGTCGTCTGCTCTTTCAAACGTCTCTGCTTGTCGTCTGCTCTTTTAGAGGACACCGGCCCGTAGACCAAACGTGGGCCCGGTACTTGCAAGCGATAAGAATTAAGTGCAGGCCTTAAAAGACTTAAAAGACTTGAAGGTTGGTAAGCAGGCTCGACGTAAACAGTAGATACAAGGAGATGTTGATCATTGTTACCAGTGGCCATCACCGACTTGTTATGCCTGATTCACTTGGTTAGATTCTGCTTGCGATTTTCAGTATCGACGTCGACCATCTCAGCTACGGTTCACGCTTTTGCAGTTTGAGCGACGTCGCTACTGAAAATTGCGAGCGAAATCTCATCATGCGAATCAGGCTTTGGCGTACGTTCTGCGGCGTCCACGCGGAATGAATCGCCGCATGTCAGATGATTCACGCGAAGTTTTGCGGTGTAACGAGCCTCGTTAATTTCGCTGACGCTGCTGAAGTAGTCAGACATCGTTAGGAGGACGTGGAATCAACAGTTCCAACGCGAAAAAGAGCGCGGGGACTCACACCGGCGCCGACAACATTGCATTTCAATGGTTTGTTTATGGGCGACGGCGAGCTTTTTGCCCACACCCCCATCGCGCATGCGCGGCGCCGGTGGCCTCCGCTTGGGGCGCTCCGGGCGCTCCAGTTTGTTTGTAAACATGAGTTGGTGTATACAGTTGCAACTGGAAGCGGGAACGTGCTTCCATGAACGGATTATCCGTGCCAGGGTTTGTGCGCGGGGGAGTCCGGCTTTGCAAAGGCGTATGCACTGACGACAAAGCGACCATGGGAACAGGCGCCCAGCTGCGAGGTCAATCCAGTGGCGCCTCCCGTGGAACCTACCGCTTGAGTCAGAACTCATTAAAGACAGACAACCACTCTCGGAGTGCCCCCGTCTTTCACGGTTGCAGCTGGAAACGCGGCGCCTGCGTGCATTACCGGATTAGGTCAATACCCGACCAAGGCTTGTTAAGCATCTCTTCCTGCATTCGTGCGTGGGGTATTATGTTTTGGCTGCTCGTCGCCACCTTGAACCAAGGACGCCTTCCCGAACAAGGGGGCTCCATGTTTCGGAATGCCTCTTCATCTGCCGGCGTCTTATTCATTTCTTCGCTCAAACCTTCGTGATGGGCAAAATTAGAACTATATAATTTCGAAAGTAGTTAGTAATTTGAGTAGAAGTTACCTGAAAAAAGTAGTTAAATTAAACTACTAATTACCCAAATCAAATTGCAATTGAAAGTTACCAAGTTACTTAAAAAAGTAGTTGAACTACAGTAGTTTGAGTAGAGTAGTTGAACTACGTCCAAGTCTGCGCTTATTGTTGGCTATCTTTGGCCCCCGAGGTCGTTCTGGAACGCTTCTTCTTCTCCTTTCTAATGAGAGTATTGTTTCGTCCTGAAAATCCCCGAACCTCGCTTTCGGTCAGGTTGCACCAGTTATTTCTAGAATGGTGGATTTGTGCACAAATAACATTTGCCTGAATTGCTCAAACTCTCAAGCGATGTTACTTTTGCGCCATAAAACTCCAATCTACTACAACTGCTCAAGCGATATTATCTTTCCGAAGCAAAAAAAAAAAGTTTTACATGTCATATTTACTGGGATTTGCTGTCTCGCGTAAAAAAAAATGTCGACACAGAATACAGTTTATTCTGACTTCTGCCAAAAAAGACTTCTAGCTTCATGGGAGCGCATGCAAGTGTGCTCCCTGGACGTCGTTCCGCTTTGCGTACGCACCAGCGGAGAGAAAAAAAAATCCTGACGAACGTTGAAGACTGTCCTGTTTAGTGAGGACACCTCTTGACTCAGATAAGATATTTCGAGGTCATATGTGTTTACAACCACGACATAATGACCGTGTGGACAAATAATAATGCGGCTATTTTCCCAGGTAGCCTATTTTAGAACTGAACCGATGAGGACAACAAAAATGGCGCAGCGCTCGGCTGACATACCCGACCGCTGAGTGAGCGTCGGCTCAGACTTGTATTCTCCCGTCGCCTGCGGGGAACGCGCGAGGGGCCCTCCAGCCTGTATGAACAATGCAACATGCACGGTGGATCTGTCCAGCACCTGCTCAGCATAAAGGCCGAAGTGGGTCAAGCTCACATTTTTTGACAACTGCTTTCGGGAGAGATGCAGCCTGTAGCGGCCGATCAACGTCACTTTGTCCATTATGGGCACTGCTTGTGGGCAATATATTGATTGTTATTTCATTTGAGGTACTGGGCCGTCCCATACTTTCTTTTTGCCACTCAAAGGACCCCATAAACAACCATGTTAAAATGCAAATAAAATCATCTAATTTTGTGCTACTTGTGAGTTTCATACACTGTCTCCACTACTTTAGCTTCGGCTATTATTTCTGGTGGTATAAGCTGTCATAAGAGATGGGAAATATCAGAATTTTTACACGGCGTTCATTATAAGAAACAAGGCTTCTTATGTGTCCGCTGAAAGGAGACAATTTGGATGACGTAATGTTTTCTGCGTACTTAACGCCATTATTTTTAGAACATTTCGCTTTAGTGCGATGACCGGCTATGCAGATGCTTATTTTACAGCAATCTGTAAAATAAGCATCATCGAAAGTTCGAAACACATGCTCCAAAAACAAAACAAAAGCAACACCGTGATTAAGTTGAAAAAATTCAGTTTATGTTTTCGGGTGTTTGCTGCAATGCACTCTATTTGACATGTCACAAACCCAAAAGGACATATTTTCTGTGAGGAGGTCTAGGCAGTGAAAAGTTGTTCTGGGTTGAAACTGTCCCTACTGTAGACTGACAGTTTTGCCACCGCAGTGCGGACGCTAACGTGGGATCTTAACGTTCATGATGCAATAATTATAAATTTTGCCATGAAACGATACTGAACTTAAAGATTAAGCACTTCAAAAATAATGCTGACAGAAGTATGTGAACTGTATTCTAACATACAGTGCCTCTGAACGGTGCGTTTTTTTTTTTCTTCGTTTAGTTTCAAAAAGTACAAGCGAACTTCTCTTGCAGTCGCTCCTACGCAAAGCTTGCTGACGCAGTTTCGGGAAACCACGATAATGATATACCACGGGTATACCTTCTGAACTGTCGTGACTGATATTTGAATGGGGTTCATGTGTTGGACTTGAGCACTGCGTTGACACTGCACTTGGGCTTAGCCGCAGTCGATGCCTTGCGGGACATTCAAATATTGGCTGGAGCCCAATCACTGCAGTGACGGCAGGAACAGCCAAATGTACGGAGCGCGGAGTGCGGCGCGTGCACCGTTTATTGACAACCGCTGCGCATTGCCGTAATGATCATTCACGGCACATCATCTGAGAGAAATACATAGGGCAGGCGAGCTGGTTCGAAAAGAACATGCTGTATTTGTAAACCCTGGGACGGAGAAAATAGAAAAAAAAACAGACAACACTGCTCATAGTCTCAAACTCGTGGCCGCTTTTTCGGTTCAAAGTGCAAGAGCAAGTTGTTTTTATTCAACATTTTTTGCGACTACACGTGCGTGGCCAGAAAAGCTAATAAGTGTTTGATAGGTTATAAACTGGAGGTATCCGACGATAGTAGGAAGCAGCTTTATGGTCCCTTTATCGCACTCCTGTACGGTGATAATCCGAATCCAAACGGGCAGTGGCCGGGATGTAACTCAGTAATTCTACAAAAATAATTTTTGTAATAATTAATAAAAGCTAAAAATAATTTTAAAACTTCCATAAATATTTGCTTCTCAAAGCAAAAACTTTTTTTTTTTTTTTTTTTTTACACAGGCGTGGTTCCATATACAAAACGTCAGAACAAGTCTGGTCAATGTTTTATTAATTGCTCTGCTCTCCCATAAAATCACGATGGAGAATACAGAGCGCGGCCTAAAGAAGACGAAGTAATTATGAAAACTAACGTCAAGGTGATCTCTCCCGAGGCTCTAAAATGTTTTCGCTGAAGCTTTCCCACCGTACGCTCACAATGGAGGCAGGTGCGCCAGCACCCGTCCGCTCCTCTATAATCCCTTACGTCCTCCAACCCGATTTCGCTAAGCTAGGGGAAGGACGGACTCGACAGGTTTGTTGTTCCCTTCTGCCCTTGGATGAGCATTGACTTTCCTCTAAAGTCCGGTTCACAGCCGTGTCATCCCGTACCCTTATGGCGTCACCGGCGACGTGGTACGGCTACGGTGTTGTAATAAAAGAAAAAAAAATTATAAAAAATAAAAAAGCAACAACTAGAGGTTCAGGGCGAGGGAAAAGTACGCTGGGGAGGGGGAAGCAGGCGGAATGGTGGAGAGAGGGGATGTTCCCTCTCTTCCGCTCCAGCAATCCGTCTGCTTCCTCCTCCCGTCCTACCTTCAACGGCGTGCACCAGTGTCACTTGTTCGTGACTTCCAAGACATCTACAAAAATTATCGTTGTTGGTGGGAGTCGAACAGAGAAAGGAGTGCGCCAAGCGTTTTTAGAATCGGCCCTCAAGGTGCTCGTCAATGAGACTGATGATTCAGGTAAGATGTGGCGCTTCATATTTCTATTAGTACAAATTGCTTAGAGCGTACTGGTTCCGTCAAATTATATTTAAGGCCATTGGAACAGTCTGGTGTCGACTGGTGTTATAGTCGAATAATTCGTGCTAGAAAACAAAAGTCGCATAGTCAATGGCTTGCCGAAATTGGCGAGCTCATGTTGTGAGCTAGAATATTCTCGGAATATTTATTTAGGTTCCAAAATGTTAAATACCGAAATATTGACATAGATATTGGCTTGTCTAGAAAATTCTTGCTTAAATAAAAAGACTACAAAATGAAAGAGCTCTCAGGGGAAATTCAGTAAACCATTCATGTATTAGTCTTTCAAAGCATCTCAATCGCTTGGTTACTAGCAGGGCAAAACGTCGGTAAAAAAACATGTTAGCACGATTAAATATTTTCTCTTATTCAATTAACTAATTGATTAATCGGTTTCGTTTATTACCATGAATAATAGACTAAAAAAGTCAAAATGGGATATTTGGCTTTCGCTGAATATTGTTATAAACGGCGCAATGTGCAATTCAGGATTTTAAATCAACCTTGATGTGTAGTTGAAATCAGCCAAAAGGCATTCACACTCCCAATTTATTACTCCAGCCGCGGAGGCAAAGAGGTTCCTTCATATTCTCCGGCAATAGCGAACTGCTTTGATTATGCGCTAAACGGACTCTCGCCAGGCGCTGTACGTTGCTGGGACACGTATATCTTCCACTTGCATTACGGCGAAGAAGTGTTTATCGTTGGTGATCTCTTCAGGACTTTGAGGGAATGCGAAGAGATTGTTGTTTTATTCACTAGGTAGTAGGGTCCTTGTTTTATCTATGCTTAACATCTACTATATTCAACCTTTTACGCTTCTTCAGATTTATACTAATTATTTCTAACAACAATATTAATTTCAGACAATCATTTTTGTTTCCACAGATTCTCAACAAATTTGAGCAGCGCAGTGATAAGATGCCTTATTAAAGCCTCACTTTTTTTTTGAGCCAAAGTCCTAGCAGATCCTTGAACTGACATGGAGAAGGTGGGCTCACGAAGGACGCCTCGCTATTCCTCAGACATGCGCAGCTGGAGCAGAGTATAGCTAAAGCAACCGACCAAGAAAACCTACCCATCACAAAAATGCAGCGAAACTCGTGTCGATGTCCTCACAGAATTCGCGGTGGGTTATTCACTTTGATCTACAGAGCTCTTCAAGCGAATGACGCAGCTTATAACTCTGTTTGAATCGAAAACGCGATCTGCGCAGGACAATATTTTCCTTTTCCTGTGCGTGCCTGGCGGGGTTCCTTACGAGTCCTGACAAATTACGAAGTTAAACTGGCCCAGTTTTCTAGCTTAGTACATGACCAAATCGTGTGCGACGTTTCGAGAATTGGCGTAGCACTAATTGTCCAAATTGAGCTAAATTCATATTCGAATTATATGCCTCCCCTAAACATGTGCCCGCTTCGTACTAGGCACATGAAGGTCATATGTATGTTAAAATAATTTAAACACTACCTGTTTACTTCATCTTGTGATATGTGAGCATTTGGTGAAAGGCCTCAACAGTCTATGCAAAGTTAATGGCTGCGAACATCGAAATCATTACGTGACATTAAAATAAGAATTATGCACTCACACAGCATACGGAAGCAGGCAATCACTGATTATTATATCTAAATATGAAAAATAATAGAACGTATAATCATGATCCATGTTTGCATACTTTTTTTTAAGTGTGGTACTTTATTATATTGCAGGTTCCAGGAGAAAGATAAACTCATCCGACGGTCCTATTCTCTACAGAGGACGTCTTCTATTCTGCACCTGTCCAAGTCCAGGTGGAGGACCTGTCGGTGGATGTTGGCGACGTCATCCATGGCTTCAGCCTCATGATCTATTGAGCTTTGGATATTCAATATGCAACGGGGATCAAGTCCGCATTTGGCTCTTTTTGAACGTACGATCGGGCTGAAAGAAACACCACTGGAAAAGGTTGCCCTGAAGCTTCTTGGCAGGCTACAAGCTTTTACTAATTATTTTTTAAGCTTTTGACCTGTATCAAGTTTTTGATTTTACAATAAAAATGTGGTTGACAATATTGTTGGCTGACATGACTGGCAGGACTTTTTTTCAAATATCTGGATTGTGTGTTTCTAGAAGTTTTCAGTTAAATTTTGATGCCGGCACGTTGCCCGTGGGTATTATTCTCTTATCCCTGCAACCTCCTCGAAGTGCCTCCTTAAGGAACTTGACGCGCAAAGAATTCAGAACTCTCTCGAATGACAGCCGATTTCAGGAATCATCGCCCCTTCAGCACACCTGAACGAGCCAGTTAGCTGAATCTCGGGGTCTGAAAAAGTGCCCTCACTGTTTGGAGCTCCGCGAGATCCATGGTGTACAAAAGTGACCCCAAAGTGGGGAGTCGCGGAAAACCTCGGGGGTTATGTATAGTGTCTGACGGCACTCGCAATTATGGGGATCACGCGAATCTCTAGGTGTAAAAAAGGGCACCAAAAAGCACCCAATTTAGGGGGGATCAAGTGATTCCCTGAGAGTTATACGCGGTTCTCAATAATGCCTGAATGTACGGGTGTCACATGAGTACCTGGGTGTAACAAAAGGCGTCGAAAAGCACCCTATTCACAAGGGATCCGTTGACTCCCTGAGAGTTGAAAATAGTTCCAAACAATTCCTCTAATTAGCGGTGTAACATAAGTACCTGAATGTGACAGAGGGCGCCAAACAGCACCCGAAGTAAGGGGTGTCGGTTGAGGCCCGTGGACTTTGAGGGGGGTGCTACTTGATCCCGTATATCTGGGGAGTACTTGCAATCCCCAACTTGAGAGGATACCACAAACACCCCAGGGGAGTCACATATGGGACACGGTCTAACTCCCCTGAGGGGAGCACCCGTATACACCCTTTTTTCTTAGAGTGTAGTTTCAACCACAGAGAATGGGCTCGAACACGGTTTACTGCCCCTGGAGTCGAGTGTTTCTTGGAAAAGTGTATACTCAATGAAAACATTTCTAAAGGGGAGCAACATTCAACTTATGGCATCCAAGGGGAACTTCAAGCAGCCATCGAGTTTTTCACTGCCAATATTAAGAATCTGAATGTTTAGGATATAAAGTTCCATGACAGAAAGGTAGTTTGCTACCCGTTTCAAAATTACACAATGAAGCGCAACTAAAAATTGGTAATTTGTAGCAAATCGCTTCCCGGCACAACAGGGGCAAGCTCCTATGACACTAAGCAGGTGCATTATTCTTAGAAAAGAAAAGATTAGAAGTGGGTAAATACAAAAGAGGATTTGCTAATTTTTGATTTGCTGTTTTTTTTTCTTTTTCTCTTCTGGAATTGCCTTTTCTACAATTTGTACCTCAGCTTGTACTAAGGCACTCTACTTCACATTCAAATGCACTATTTTGGGATTACAATTAATTTTTTTTAACATTTCCTAATGAAGTCACATCTTTTCTATGGCTTGAGGAGCGTAGGATGCTGTGTAATTGGTAAGGCCGAAACTTCGGAATTTATAATTCCCAATAGCGAGTAATTCGTCCGAAAAATTTGAATAATTTTGAATGAAGGGTTGAAAGGTTAACCTTCTCAGGCTATACCCGCCCCCTCCCCCCCCCCCTTTTTTTTCCAAGCGTGGTTTGAGTATATACATACCTTCGAAGTTTGCCCTTATAACGTTTTCAAGCGGGTAGTCAGTTTGATTCAAAGCTCTCACTTGTATTGTGATATTCTCGCTGAAATTAAAGTAATTTACGAGCAAGTTAATTGTAGAGGATATGCGCCGAGAAACTAAATGAGAGCAGAAGACGAGAGCGTGCGTGGACGACAGAACGCCGAACTCTGATTGGAACGATTAGTGGGTAGAACTAAAGCAAGCTGACTTTGTCTAACGTAGTAGACTGCGTAACTTTCTGTTACGCAGAATGTATTTTCTTAAAAATTGAGACCTCCTTCCACTCTTTTAGTATTTCAGTTCGCTACAGACCTCCTTCTAAAAGATACGGGCATTCCCTTCACGAGCTCACATCGACAAGTTGGCGCGAGCTGCAGTCTAGCATTATTTTGCATCGTACGAGATATGAACATAGATTTGCTGAAAGATTAAACATCCTATATGTTTGCGAGTACCCTAACGCTTGCTGGTGTAGGTTTTGAAAGCGTTTTCAGTGCACCAACAATATAGGAGGTGGTGGGCGGTAGACTGGTGTCCTCGTGCATTTACTCTATTTGTGTCACGACGTTAGACGCAACACTGAAATAGGCAGTAATTTCGCAAAAAATGGCCGACTATTTTTTGTTGGGTGTCAAATGGTATGACAGTCTGCCTCGGCAGCGGCTGCGAAAAGGGATCACATCTTTCACATCTTTGATAAAAAGATGTAGGACAAATTAGCTTTGTCATACGTTTGGAGCTCTTTTCTCCGAGGGACATCGCACGCTGATGTTTACTTAACATTTGTATACGACTCTTTCAAGGCGAAGGCACAGCGCAACGTTTAGTAAAAATACGAAGCCCAGATTGCATTTGGTTAAATACTCAAATTTTAGCTTCCGTCGCTGGTGAAGATTTTCGGTGCGTTGTACGCGAGCTCCTCGAAATGTCAAATCGCGCGCGGAATTTCACGCAGCGAGGAACGAGGTCAATGTCCACGTACGTTTCGCTACGCGACTTCATTTAAAATAAAAAAGATTCCCAGAAATTCGTTCCAATATTTCACAAACTTGGTCCCTTGTGAAAGGTCTTAGAGGTCACTAAAGTTAGAGCTCAATTGGTGACGCCATATTTAATTTTTTTTTCGACAATAGTAAGGAGACCGCGGAAAAGCTTAACACCGTTCTTCGCCACTTCTTCAGACAAATCACCCAGTCGCTCTGTTTAAGAACTGTCATTGAAAGATACAAATTACCCGTCTGCTTTTCTTCGTGATATGGATGAAGAAGCTTGGGAGTCGGTTTTTTTTTTAGTATGAAGTGGACTAGATGATCTGGAGCCGATGGAATTGCCGTTGGTTTTCTTCAAATTAACCTTTCGTCTTTAAAACACTTCTTTTCATGACTAACGGTTTCATAAGGACACGTAAGATTAAGAAAAAGATCAAAGCGGCTATTGCTCAACCCATTTTTAAGGGCGGAAACCAAATGTGATAGAGAATTACAGCCCGATATCAATATTGCCTGTCTTCGTAAACCTGTTAGAAAAGCACCCATTTCTTGAGATGAGCAGCTTTTTTGCGCAGCCGCCTTATGATATCCGAATCGCAATACGGTTGAGTACTTGAGAAGGGCACGCAGCTGCTCTTAGACGAAATATCGATTATTTGAACGCAGCGTTTCAGGATACCTTTTTTTTGTTTTTGTGCATACCGTTAACTAGTCGATTTGGCTGGGTAAATTGTTTAATTTTGGTCTTCGGGAGCCTTTCTTTTTAACTACCGGGCGTTTTCAGAAAAGATTGAACAAACATGTTCGGTGACCATTTTTAATTTTGATGAAAAAGATATATTTTGCTGGCTTCATGCCCAGAAGAATAAAACCAACCCTTGTTTTCAGAAAAAAGTTTTTGTCTTTGCGAAGAAAAATTGTAAACAACCTCTGAGTCACGTGCGCGTTCTGGGTATAACCCGATGTTGAGATTTCGGGCGGCGTTTTCTAAAAAACTGTTCTGGCTACGGGTCTAGAAATATTCACTGACAAATTAGGTTTAAAAAGGATTGACAAAAAGTGTTAATCACCGAGTATTAGGGTAGTTTTTTTTAGCAAAAAATAGTGCACGAACGCTCTAGATTAAAGAATACGTTTTTCCGTTTTAAACCTTTGCCAGTGTATTGCTTTGTATATAGTTAATATTTGCATGAAATAATATTGTCCTGGTTAACGGAAGGAATTTACGAGAATTGCTCACACAGGGGCATTTAACTAAAAAAAGCATTATTTTGAAAATAAATTAAAAAAGGCCATATTTAATAGTATTAACACTCTCTGAAATTGATGTTTATAATATGTATTAACAGAGTCTGCAAAAACATAATGCAATATTTGTGTGGCTTTTACGTTGTACAGCGAGAAATACGGCCAAATTCACGCTAACGCGGTTGCCATCAATGGGGCGTGCACTTACCCGTTCATCACAATTTCCTTATTATTAAAAGGCGTAAAACTGCTACGGGGTGGTCAGGAAAAGACAAATTGACAGCACAGAGGTGGATGGTAGTTTGTAGGGAAAATTTCGTACACATTTTCCTACAACCGACCCAAAAATGCCCATGGGCCAGAGCGATCGAGGTGCGCCACCCTGTAACATGCTTCGCGGTGCCTGTTTCAACAGCCGGCGTATAGCGTCTCCGTATACGCGGCATAAAGGAAGCAAACAGAGCGTCTTTGCAAACAGGTCAGCCTACAACCCTGGCGGTAACATGACATAGGAGGTAGGGCGCGGCAGAACCTGAACCTGCGCCTCCTGTGAGCGCCAATATATGCGCCACCGAGGGCCGCGCAAATACTACAGGCTGTTTTTACTGCTATGAACTGGTTTCTTGACAACTGTATCAAAGTTAACGCATGAAAAGCTAGTTTAGTATGTTTTATAATTTTTTTTTAAAACAAACTGTGACGAACATTTCTGTCTTACTTCGTACCTCTTATTGTGCTTCTTGTTCCTGTACGGCGGTTTCTTATGTCAATTCAGTGAAATACCTTGGCGTTTATTTTGACAGCGACCTTGCTTGGAACACCTACCAGTCCTATATTTGTAGCAAACTCAGAAGTGTTGCCTGGCTTCTGTACACCAATAGACATCTTGCGCCGATCTGTGTGCGCGGAGATATTGCCAGCAGTCTTGCATACGGCGTTTTAAGATATGGAATTAGATATTTTTTCAATTGCCCCATAAGATGGCAAGGACGAATCATTAATAGTCTGCGGAACTTGCTAAAGAGCGTGGCGTAAAAATGTGGTTTGACAGAATGCGGAAATATTTTGAGTATCTTGGGTTACCTTCCTTCCAAAAGTTGTTCGTGAATTAAGTAATTTTGCGCCACTTTTGGATGGATGATTTTAAAAAAAAAAGAACATATTCATGTCCTCCCGAGTTCTAAGGGATTGCCCTCGCTATGTTGTGTCTCGTTCTTATACTCGCAACGGTCAAGCTATTTGTGATATTTATAAATCCCGAAAATATTTAATTCACTTCCTGGTGACATTTTTACGCTTACCTCAAAAAAGCAACTAAAAAAATTCCTGATTCATTGAATTCTACATTAACTATTCGTTTTCTTACCTTTATTTTGACAACCTTGTCGGAACCTTTTTATTTTACCTGTATAAGTATATCTCTAGAATGTTTCATCCGGTCCACTGTGATTGACTATCCCTGTCCGTGGCATGAATATATCTCTATGTATACTCTTCATGTATCTCTACATGTACCTGTACATATGTGTATAATTTTTCTACCGTTACACTGTGATTGCCAAACTCTATGCGTGCCATGTACAAAGTGACTGACTGCCCCCGCTGCCCCCCCCCCCCCCCCCCCCCCCCCTGGAAAAAAATATGATTGTTCATCTGTGTTAGTTTGTTAACTAAGTATGTATATAATGATTTACTGCCTCTTCCGGGCCATGCCCCACAAGCCTACTTTGGCTTTGACGGGCCCGAAAATATCGAAAACAAACATGAAAGCAGAATGAATAATAATAATATTATTATTATTATTATTATTATTATTATTAGTTAGCTGATGAGTGAAGTACTTACTATTCCTCGAATTCCGGATCGTAACTCATTATTGTGTAATTTGCGGTTTTGTTCATTTTGTCTGATATATTTACTGTTGCAGAGATACATTTCCCAACAACGGGAACGTCGGTGCGAAACAACAAATAATACGTATCATTTGACGTTTCTTCTAGGACCTGCAATCATCAAAACGAAACATTTATTATTATTTTTCCCAATATTACGAGAAGACGCATGGCAGGGCCAACTAAATAGGGCACTTATACCCGTTCCCTTATACAAGCGCACCTCGAATGCCATTTACAACGAATGACATTCGTGTGATCAACGAATGGGCTCGCGATCTGTCGCGCGTGGAACGCCCCACTCTCGGGGTGTTCCACGCTGATTGGCCGATCTTTCAAACGTCATTCGTTGTAAATGGTATTCCAGTTACCCGTGCGGCACGGGTATTACTCACATTTAAGCATTCGTATCCTGTCGGCAATAAAAATCTGGTATTGCCCCACTTTAAATCACAGCAAAGTAATGGTGTTCGTCAATAATGAATGCATACCCTTCAATGAACGCTCAAACACAAAGAACGAATCGAACGCTTGTATCACTAATATTGGTTTCAAAGCGACTACAACATAAATGTGCTCGCGCCATTAGATGACTTGCAAGAGTGTATTTTTGTAACCGTACAGCATAATTATATTTGTAAACATCTCTAGCACGCATATGTGTATATGATATTTTTTTAGTACTAAAATGCATATTCAGAAAATGGATTTGCGTATGCTTTTATGCTTTTAGCAAACGATAGTTGATGAGTCTCTACAGCTCCTTGGATTTACGTTTAATCATAGTTCAGTCATTTCTGCTTTCTTCGTTTTTTGTAATAAAGTAGTATGGTTTCTAAAAATGATCGGGCGATAATGTGCCGTACTTTTCGGTCTATAATCAGCACCCGGTGTATAGTCCGCGGGGATTAATTTGGAATCAAAATAAACGATTTTATTTAGATAGTCCTCAACGGGTGCATAGTCCGCACTTAGTGCATAGTCCTTTCGATTCAATTCCGGTTCAGTTTCGGGGAGCCAAAATAAAGGTTCGAACCGGTTCGAACCGGTTTGAACCGCTAAACTGCGAATACATTTTGCGCGTTGTTTTGGAAATTGGCACTATTTGAACCGTAAAACGAGTAACTATGTTTTTTTTTAATTATTATTCGTACTCGTCACTTTTATTTTCAAATATGAAATATAAAAAAATGTCGATCTTTAATCTCGACGATACAGTAAATAAAAAGCTAAATTAACATTGATAAACGTCGTGTTTAAATTACTCATCTATTCGTTCACCTCAGTCGCATATATTTTACTTGAATCGAAAGGTCATCAGTCTGGTAGGTTGCCTAAAATGCCCGCGATCGGTACAAATTTAAGTCGCAGTATCAAAAGTTGAATTCTAGTTGTTTCTTAACCTTAGGACATAATTGCAGCGCATAAAATGAAGAAACTGGCACCTCCTCACCATATATATTGTGAAATCTAGTTTACAAAATACGTTTCATAATATATATGGTGACGGCGCAACTGAGCTAAAAGCAACACTATTTTCAAAATGTTACGAAAGTTTTAGGACAAGTTCTTTCATTCTACCTTTGTTGGACACACTGAGCGGCAATCACAACGTTTGTTTTCCTGACCAACATTGTTTACAATCAGCACCGTGATGTAGGCTAATAATCATTCAGAAGAGAGTGATCAAAGTTTTTCACTCTAATCTAAACGCACCTTCGTACTCGGATCCAATTTGTCCTAAAATAGCGCCTACCCACAAGAATATTTTCGACATATCCTGGCGTTTGAGGTTTGTTTTTGACAAGATTCAAGTCAATACAATTTGAAAGTAAGCGTCACCTTTGCTAACTTGTCATTTATTGTTAAAAAGATCATATTGATATTTCACACTCTTCTCAACATTGCAACTACTTAATTAGTCACTTTCTGACGGTCTGCGTGCGCAATCATCATAATTTGTGCCATGAACACATATGTCAGGAACAGATTTATGTGTCAGGAACACATTTATGAGTCGGAAACACGTAGTTATCTAAATGAACTACAAATTCAGAAATTTGTTTAAGGCTCTCTCAAAGCATTTATAGACGTGCATATCGGAGATAAAAACGCCGGAAAAGTCTTGCAGGGCATATTTCAGACAATTTGGGGTGCATTTACTTATGATGTATATCTTTAAGGCGACCGGCATTTATTTATGTTGGCAAATTTTCAGTCAGTAAATGTATTAGTATTATTATCAATATATTCGACTGCATGAAGTTCACATAACCACTGCTGCTCACAAAATAGATCTGAAGGCAAATACACTAAATCTGGTGAAAAGGAGATAATAAATAGTATTCTAAAAATTTCATACACAACGTCTTATTGCAAAAAGAAATGCATAGAGATGCATGAAATAATGTTCCTAATTACACATGAATAGCGCGAAGGGCTGACATTATATTTCTAACATAAATCCCATTTTAACATCGGTTTGCACGAGCTCGTAACTTAGAAAAGTACTGCATTAGCAGGCTAATATTTTATTCGGTTTTACGTGCACTTGTTTTGGGCCCTCACTTTACAACGCGGTATTTTATCAGTCAGGCGCGCTCTATCTTTGTATTAGGCTGCCTCATATCATTGCGAGATTACTGTATATACTGCACAACTTTACAATTTGGACATTCACCTTTGCTAGTGTTGAGAACATCGCATTTCACCAGAAAACAGAACTGTTTAATATGTGACTTGAAGACATCGCCATAAATTTATCGCGCAAAAGACTATAGTGCAGGAAGGAACAATGGAACAGGGCAGTCCCATTGTTTCTTCCTGTCCTAGGTAGCTAAACTCGTGGAGCAAAACATTCTTCGCTTTTGGACCAGAAGAACGCTGCAAAGTTTCCTCCTTCCTGCGCGCGCTCAACTTCGCAACTTTTGACGAAAAATCCCCCGCGATCCCTAGGCGGTGCACGAGAGCACGAGACAGCGCGGGGAGGCGAGCGTTCACGCCGCTCGCTGTACGTCGTCTTTGGGCTCTCTAGCGCCGACAATCCCGTCATGCCTCGCCCAGGCGAGGAGCGAGAGCAGACGACGAGAGTTCGTCTGCTACGATGAGGCATTCGCACACCGGAACTGAAAGAAAAAGTTGGTTTTCTGCTCGAAATCGCGTCCCGCGGGCCAGAAACTGAAACGCGAGCTTGAATTGTAAGTCTCTGATATTTCACGAAGAAAGGAATCGAGGGCCCGTCTTTTATTTGCGAAATTTGAGTCGTTTTGTAGCCGTACAGACGCTGAAACCTACCAGTGTGTAATGAAAGGCCCAGGACAACCACAGGGGCCGCGAGATCTAGCATCATTTGTGTATGGGTGAAAAGTGCAACATTTTTCGACAAAGCTCCCACAGCAAAAACCTGCGACGGATTCACTCAGCGTCCGGGAAGGCTAAACATGGAGACGTTGCCCGAGACTCAAGCAAAGTCATATTTGAACGGCAGCTATCTCGCCCCGTCATATTTTGTTTTGAGAAAGCTCTCGTTCTCAATGCCAGGGAAATAAAATGTCTTACGAAACGTATTGCTAGCTGTTCCAAAGAACTAGATTTAAGCCGTATCCTTTCAGTTATTCACTCATAATATTATGCTTAAAACGAAGCAAGCTCTTGTGCGTACAGTGCCTTCAATTTCCTCAAGCGTATGCTGTTTTGTAATCAACTGGTTTCGGAAACTTACGCCGTCAGTAGATATCTCTGACTGCCGAGTTGCTTAAGTGGAAGTCATCGCAAATGTAAGTCCCACGTTGCAGCAACGAACGTTTAAACGATGGCAGCGACTGCACTCTCGCATTTTCACCCATCACGTCGAACAAAAAGGCGCTAGTTTCGTTTTGAGGTCGGTACTTTTCTACAACATCTATGGCGACAGCATCAGTCTGCACCGGGTGCATTCGGCAAGTTCGTTCGGGGCCTGTTCTCCGTGCAGCACTCGGCGGGTGTAATGCATTAGAACTCTCACAGTGCAAATCTGTATCGCGAATTGGGAGCCCGTCACTGGCCTCACCGGCGGCCATTGCTTGACGACAGGCAATATGCCGCGTCCTGTCTAGTTCTCCCTTCGTTTTCATCCTTGTTGCTTTGGCCTTTTACATCATCATGAGGCAATACACGCAAGTCTAAGGAAGAAACACGCACAAATTGGAAGCTTGTACGCGGTGCTCGAGGGCGAGCATTTTATGACGTGCTGCGATGATTATGTCGGGTTCTTGGAGATCAAATAGACATTCGTCAAGCGTTTGAACATCGATTAAAAAAAATTGGCCGGAGCACGATTGACTTTACCGACGTCGCTTGCTTCGGTTGCTAAATAAATGGCACGTCGAGCGACTGAACGGCACGCTCCGAGTTTCAGTTTGTCACGGAAGCCCTCACAGGAGTTCAAAGAAAAAGCTTTCACCATGAAGCACTATGTACAAGCGGTCAAAACGATGCGAAAATCCCCAGTAAAGGAACTCTAACTTATCGTTTGCTGAGCTTTGATGACTCCGAAATCACGGATGACTCCACAATAACTCTCGGTAGCCCTTGTCTCATTAAACACATAACAGTTAACGCCCAACAAAGTAGCCCTGGACCCTCAACTACACAACATTTAGTTAAACAAGATTGGTATTCTAACGCGTTTAATATTGTTGCCCACAATATTAACTGTTATTTGCGGAAACATGATAGAAGTTTCATGGTAGAGAACAATTTACTAACGTAATAAAATTGAGTTGTGTCAAGCGATGGCTGCCGGTGGTGCCGCTCGACCCCAGCAATACAGGCCTCTATAAACGATCTAGCCTCCTAAGAAATCAGTGGTGCCAGTGCTATTAGACATAAATCGTTTATTTGCATCGGTACTCCCATACCTGCCGGATGTAGGGATGAGGCGCAAAACCGTACATCCGACCAATATTGAAGCCGGTTTTCGGACGATATTGCCTCGACACTCGCCAAGAAGCAACGTGCTGTTTCGGCGACTCGTTTGTGTAATTTATTTGTTCAGTCATATTAACGGGTCCCGGGCCACTGTGTACACCCCAAAAAAGAAATGAACTGTGGTAATTACACCTTGAGGAGAAGTAGGCACGTAGCCAGATTTTCGGTTAAAGGGGGGGGGGGGGGGGGCGCCGATGACAAAGTGCTCTATGAGGGGGAGGGAGCAGAGGAGGCCCCAGCAAAATGGAAAATTTCGGGGGGGGGGGGGGGGGGGGCATAAGGCCTGGCCTTATGCCCCTTGGCTGCGTGCCTGACGAGAAGGGGTATTGTAGTTTTACATCTTTATAAAAAGGTGTAGGCATTATCATACGTTTTAAGAAATGTGTTTAAAAAATCACACATTTTTAAAGGTGTGAAGTTTACATTTTTTTTATAATGTCCATCGCTACACTTATTAGGTTGTTAGTTATGGGACACCCCACTTACATGTTTAAAGGTGGGAAAATGCTTAATGCGTATATTCCTCTAACGGAAGACAATCTCTTTCATGTGATTACATCGCGTGCCGATGAAACGATCTGTCGATGACACGTCGTTCGATGAACTGATTTGACCGCCAATGAGTGACGACTGCCAGTAGAATTTCGGGGAAATAATTCTGCCGGCTGCCGGGAGACTCAACCCTACCCAAGAATTACCCCGGTTCTTGTTTGTTTTCCAACATTCTGAATTGTATACCAGCTTATTAGTACCTCTTCGGATATTACAGAAAAAATAAAATAAAAAAAAGCGATGGCAGCCGCAAAAACTCTGACAGCCCGGTTCACAGTCATGTGGGAGACTGACAGGTGCTCGTCAGTCGCCACCATGCCTTGAAAGCTACCGGTTCCGAAGAACCGGAGCGCGCAGAGAACTTGTTGTTCCACAGTCCGAGCCGGCGAACGAAGCTCGTCGCAGAGTAAACGCACAACGGCTTTGGATAGCCGGTACTGTCGCCGAAAGTCGTCGTCGGGGAGTTGAAAGGCGTCCCCAGTGGTCTCAGTAGCGACGCCGACGGTGGCGGAAGATAAGCTCGGCCGCAGCGTACGGCACCGCCATGTTGACAAAGTTTAACTACGCCTCGGTCCGAAGCGAAGATCTCGAGCTCAAACCGCGGCTCTCGCAAAGTTCGGAAACGTCACTTTGACGTCAGCGACAACTTCGACAAACGAGGTTTCTTGTTAACACAAAATTCGGAGGGATTTTGAGCGTCAGCAGGTCGCCTAGGGACAATTTGCAAAGCATTGATTTTAGCTTGGCGTAGGGATGTAGGGACAAATGGGCGCTACGTCATCGGCGAAGCCGTTCAATCAGCGGGCTCCTCGCGCCCCTCACGCGCCGCACGCGCGCCTCGATGAACTTTGCTTTGAATGATTGACACCTCGCTCGGGGCGACGTCAGCGGCGCGAGAGTCCAATTAGCGCGTTCCGCAACTTTCGGACACAAACTTGTGCTTCACGAGTTTAGCGACCCTAGTCTTTTGCGCTATAAATTTGTAACGAATAACCAAATTTGGTAATGAATAACCGCCTGTTAATTTTAATTATAAAGACGTCATCGCACTAATGGGTCGCTGTCATTGCGATTTGCTCTCGCTGAGAAAATAAAATACGGTAATGCAAAATGCACGCTGCAGAAGGTTCCCGCTCAGTGCAAGATAATGTATTCGAGATACACAAATTATTCCGGCGTGGTGTTGCGTCGTGAGGATCGGCGAGAGCGTCTGGCAACCCGAAAACGCGCTTTCGGACATTTCTTGTTGGAGTAGTTTTGCAAACAAAATAGTTTTCGGGATAACGCGTTCTGCTCTGTGCCGAAGATGCGGAGCAGAGAAAACTTTAGAACAAAATATGTTTTTAAGACTCCCTTCCCTCATCTTGTTTTAGAGCGCAGCTCTTGAGCGTTCGTTTCCGGGATAAGCGGCGTAGGCGTCGCTGTCGGCGTCGGCGTAAGCGCGCTAAATTTAGTGGGAAAGTTGACGTCACGTGCCCTTAACACCAATTGAATTTCCCGCTAAATGTAACGGGAAATTGAATTGGTGTTAAGGGCACGTGACGTCAATATTCCCGCTAAATCTAGCGGAGAAACTGATTTTGTTCATAGGTGATGTGACACCAAGTCATTTGATGTCATTATTCTCCTTAGATTTAGCGAGGAAACTGAATTGTAGCAGGAGAGGGGAGGAGGGAATGGAGGAGGAGGAGGATGAGAGGAAGAGGAGAGCAGGAGAAGGTACGGAGAGGGAGGACGGGCATGCCCTTCCCTGCGCATCCTCCCTTCCGCCTCCTCAAGACCTGCGCTCTAATTTCGCATTACAGAGATTTGTAATCCTCTCTCTTTTTTTTTCTCTCTTTTCGATGGTCCTCCAGAGAATACTTTTTATTCCTGAGAGACTCCCTCCTCTGTATTATATTTGTGCCATTTGTTAACTGGGATCCTCCATTTCTTTTATTTTACTTCCCAAAACTGTAAAGTATATACAAAATATGGAAGTGGTCAAAGCTTAGGGAAGAACTTGAGAACGAAACTCCTGTGAGACTTTGAGCGGCTGCGAACGTTCGGCTGTACCTCTGAGGCCACTAGGATCTTTCTTTTCAGGTGTCTCTCCCGTAGACACTTGTAGTTCTGGTTATCGTCGGTTCAAAAAAAATCAAATTTAGACCCTTCAGTGCTTTTTTTTTCCTCGGGGACAACTTTCTGAAACAGTTCAGCAACAACGAAAACATGTTTGGGTGCCTCAGTGATGTGTACCTGTAAAATGTGTCCTGCAACAATTTTTGTTTCAGTAAATACCGATAACAGCCAATTCCTGACGTTGATAACTTGCAGAAACACCCATCAGTTCTCGTCTCCGCTCAACGGCAGACGCAGAAAAAATATAGGACAGAAACAGCTTTCCCCTCCTCAACTCGCAATTAGAACGAGCGGACAGGTCTTCATTAAAGGCATGCGCTGGGGTTGGCAAAGACTAAAGCACGGGTATAGCTTTAGACATTGTCAGAGTTCGGCTATTCTCACATCTGATTGAACACGGACCGTTACCCGAATGTTTGGCGATACTAATTGTCACGAACCGGAGCAGTCGGCTCGGGCATATGAAAATCGAGTGAGTAAAGGTGTCACGTGACTCGCGGTGAAAGCTAGTAACGCCATGTGACGTCACGGTATCAACAACGCTAGTAAATCTAGTGACGTTGTAAACTTAAGTCGACTGTTGTCACGTGACTACGTCCCGAGGCCACGTGACGTGACATTACTTGACAGCATGCCTTGGCATCATGACGTCACGTGACCACACGACACATGATTAATCCTTGTGAAAATACAAAAGCGCCACGAAAACCCACAAGTTGTCAAATATTGCAATTTGGTATAGAACAATTTGATCTATACTTATGAATACAGCTCCTAATTTTTATTTCTCAGACATTCATTTTGTAATACAATAAAAAAGAAAAACTAACGTGAACCGTTTTAAACCGCTTACTGTTATAATGTTTCCTGTACAGTGCCGATTCCGTTTCAACATGGCGGTGAAAATTTTGGTGCGGCCAGCGCTACTAGAAAAACTCAGTTGGGAAACTGCCATAGAGCCTGCTCTGAAAAAGGTGGCACCGGTCAGTACTCAAGAACCGAGCTAATCGCGATCGTAACGCCGCCATTTCTCCCCCAGCGGAAACTCTGGGAGCTGCACGGCTGCTTGAATTGGTTCAAGAGTATCGCATTCGATAGCGTCCACTGTTACTCATGTATTTTGGTTTTAATCGGCCATTTTGGCGCCGAAATATATACGGTCAGCGTTGCCACGCCAATCTTCCAAGCGGACGCGTCCCGAGCTACTACTCAAGCTAGGACGCGCCCAGATTGGGACGCGCTACCTGAAATCACCGGTGAGACATGGTTGTATAAATACAATATAAATTGCGCAACAAAACCTTGTGAAGTAAAGATTTGAGAAAACATCATGTGCCTTGCATGCTGTACTAATCTCCAATAAATCCTCCTACAAAAGAACTTTTTTTCGTTTGTTTTCATGCAAAAACATGCTTTCTAAAAGCACATATTAACCACAGTAAAAAAAAAAAAAAGAAAAGTGTTGAACAGCCTTTGTGGCAACTCGAGCCCGAGAGTTTCGGTACTCTGGGAACATTCACTGACTCTATTATTAGCGGTACAAAGCAACTTTTATGTCTCAATTCCTTTCTAAAGGGCGGCGCTGTTATCGTATTTATCTCGGTCTCGGTGAACGCCAGTGGTCGAGGTTTCGAGGGTGAGTTTCCCAACTGAGTGTTTTGGTAACGTTGGGTTCGGTCCAAAATAACGGTTTGGTTCCGGTTTGGTTCCTACACCACGCCCTTCACGCGAATGGCTCCGCTCCCGAGACTACCTCGTATTCTAGTTCACTGTAGTTTTATTGTAACCATGGAGGTAGGAAGAAGAAGAGGCGATATAGCGACTCAAGCCAGCCATACGAGAAAATCTCGAGTGAAGCCGGAAGTGGAGGACGCGGTCTGTGGAACGCCCCCCAGGGTGACCAAAACCACACCAAAGCCGCTGCTGGTGCCAAATCAGGTGTCCTTTCCGTCCAATTGCGTCTTTAGGTTTCGGTGATTGTTGGGGGCGTGTCCCTCTAAACCGGAAAACTCGGGTCCTCATGTTTCCTCCAGAAGACTTAAAAGATGGTAACTTTAGCGCGCTTCCTACGTGCTCCAAATAATTCTGGTATTTACTCATTTAGTAGTTTTCGATAATACTCAGAAAGTTGCTCATATCTTTCTCTTCAATCAATAAAATTGTTAATGAGCAAATTTTTGTTGATTAACTGATTTATCGTGACGCTTACCGACTTATATTATCTCTTTCAGTCCGTATAAGTATAGCTTTCGTGTCTTTCGTGCCGAAATACAGGCAGTCTTCTTAAGGCTTTACAGATATGTTTAAAAAAAAAATTAAACAAACCTCTAAAGCCTTAAAAAGACAGCCTGTATTTCGTCCCCCACCCCCTCTTATCCTAACCACATACCTGCCATGCATCTTGCAGAGACCCAAGTTCTGGGTAGTTGAAGTAAGGGCTGTTTTCCGGGTTTTTTATGGTCATTTTCTCCGTCCATTGAAAGCTCGGTGTCCATCGCTCCAAGGCCTCAGCCGCGGCGAAAAAAGCGAACAACAATGCGCACATGAGGCCCATTACAACGTATTCTTTCTGCATTCACTCCTCTTTCGAGATCGACTCAACACTGCCTAAGTGTTAAATAGCTCCTTTTTTTTTGTTGTTGTTATTTCAAAATGCAGCGGTAGCGGATCATATGTGACGTTTGTGACGGGACATCTCTTAAGGGAAAAGCATTGTTCAGAGAGGCTGCATTAACATGCGAGAAAAGTGTTCGTCATACACAACGGAGTAAAAGAAATTGCCAGAAGTAGCTTCGGAAAGGAATGAAGTTCAGTTTTTCCGATTCTCTCATCGCTTTGGTTTTCGTGGTTGCAGCTAACACAAACGCCTGAAACAGATTTGAAGCGGGCAGAAACAACAAAGTCACACTTCACCGTACTACGTCGTGAGAGTGAGCTCAAAATTAGCCTAACGAGATTTATAAAAAACAAAAGGCAGTAACTATGCCGCGGATGGGCGTATTCCAAATCAATACAATCACCCCGTTTTGATCGCTTCCTAGCTTACAATGCATGGGGTGATTATTATCAGAAACAAGGAAAGGAGACGCGACGTGGTAAACTATAAACGCTGACGTCCTAAACAACGCAGCGCGTGCCAGGACCCAATAGTTTTATTATTGCTGCGAAACCGATTAGATTTCGGCAATTTCGGAGAACAATGCCCAAGAACGAATCACGAACCGAGAAGAGTTAAGGTAATAAGTCACACGCCCGGTATTTCTTAAGCCGTCGGTGACTACTATCTCGCTGGCTTATAAAACAAATATTTCGTCAACGCTAGAATAATAAAACGTAATTCGGAACTCTGGTATAACGTCAATTACGCTACGAATTGGGACGAGGCTACAAAGAAATCCATAAGGCCGGGATCACAGCACTCATTCATCAATCAAAATACAGTATACAAACACGAGTCACCGGAATGTTTGTGGTTCGAATGCCGCGTTCCCAAGTTTCTTCCCTGAACTCGTTGCCAGTCGGCATTCAAAGCAGGGATCTCGGGGTGGCTCGCTTTCGAATCTCGATGCAGTCTGTTTTTTTTTATATGATGCATAAACAGTGTAACCCCGGCTTTACGTTTATATCTTGCACGTGAGAGGTGACATTTGTGACTTAATTATCTAGCCCAGACAGCTGGTATCCTTTTTACTGAGCAAAAAGAGATTATTGTGCAGACTTAAATTCGTGCACGCATCAAGTTTCTCGCGGTATGTTCCCGTCATTTCGTTTCGAAAGACAATTAGCTAAAGATATCTAGTGCGCCTGGCCTCCCAAAGCGAATACTTTTAGGCCGTGTTTTAATTGTGCGTCATGACGAACAAGCCAGGGGGCTTAGATGCACCCCCCCCCCCCCCTTCTTGCTGACCGCCATGTTGTACAATTTTGATTACTAGACACGTGACTGTACCAAATTTCTTTTACGCAAAACTGAGGCAAGATTTGCATTGCGATCACCGTAAAAAAACATAAGAAACTATTGCTCAATACTCTTAGCCGCAGATATCAGTTTCTGGCTCCGATAAAAACACTAAAATACAGCACCGCGACTGACGCTGTATATCGGAACCATTGCGAAGCTGCCCGAGGTATCGTCGTAAAAGCACATTTCGGATTTAAAATAAATCAAAACATAACTTATCTCGTCGGTACTGTTATTAAAGATCAATAAATAATTATCTGTGTGTGGTACTTTTTCAAAATCGAACCGTAAAACTATAAGGTCACCTGTCAAGTGGCAAAAAATGAGCAACATGGCTGCGGCCGGATTGGGGTCGCTTTCAGCTGCCAGTTTATCGCGCTAAGCCCGCTTACCTTCTTGGTTATGACGCTCAACCACCTTTCTCACCGGTGCCCTCCCCAATTCCACTCCCTGATTATTTTTTGGCTAATAAATCGCTTCCTAATCTAATCTAGTCCCGGGTGCGTGCACGACGAAAAATAACAAGAACAGAAAATGACTGCATTTTTGTTTTGTTGGTTTTTTTTTACTCCTCCCGGTTGCTTTTTACCGCAAAACAACAGAAGCTTACAGACGCCTGTATGGGACCGCAGCGCATACATGATGAAACGCTGAATGCCACTTTCATGATCACGTCTTGGGAGCGTTGCAGAAGGTTTTGGACGGGAGCAGAATAGCTCATTTCGTGTCCGCGTCTCATTGACATTGCAGACAACGATAGACGGTGGTGAAATAGCACGCGATGCCGGAAGCTTCCACGTGTGTGCTCGCACGACTAGCAGGCTCAATCAGACGCCAGACTAGACGCAGCGGATGTCGCTAAAGGGAGACACTAGGTTTGTTAGCGTGATGAACCGAGCAGTCGAGCCAGCCAAGTAGCAATAGGCGGGGCCACTGATTTGTGGTAGGGTCTTAGAGCGTGCCGTGACCTCCACCTAAATTCGTTCGAACAACGTAAATACTGTGCGAATTAATTATTTTTATTTCTTTGAAAATTTATTGAAAATACATACGTGTCCTATTTATGCAATTAAACAAACTTTTTGTTTTTATTTTAATATTTATTTACGTGTGAGCGTACCAGAAGCTACAAGCGCGAACTTCGCTCTTTCCGCGTCTCTGCCCAGCACTTCCGCTCGTGCAGTGCAAACGCTTTTCGAGGCCACATGCTCGCGCTTGTTTCATCGGCTGTGCCTGGATTTAAGACGAAAAACCTACCCAGTGCGATACCTCTACTAAGGGAGTTTTGAACATGCGTCGTGAAGTAGAGGTACACGACGGCACTCGGATAAGCCGACACGTGTAAGGATTGAACCGAGGACAACCGTGTTCAATGTTCACTTGCGCACGGCAGCAAAGATTGAAGGCTCGGCGGCTGGCACATGCTAACGCACTGCTGTTTGCAAGCTGCCGTATAGGCCGGTTCACGCATTCCTTAAAGGGGCGATGCAACAATTTTTGTACTTTGCGCAAATAGCTCTTAAAACGGTTCCTTGACGATAATGACCTATGAAACACGCGTTCGTTTTTAACCCCACGCAATAGAAGTCCCAGAAAGGAATTAAAAAAAAAACGAGCAACTTTCGCCCCTCAACTCGCCCCCCCCCCACCATCTTTCACAACGCTTAGAAGGAGAAGGACAGGCGCTGAGTTCGAGACATTGTTGTGGTTCGGCTATTGTCGTCATTGCAGCGATTGAACACGGGCCACTACCCGAATGCTTCTCGAGTTATCGATTATCACGAGCCCAAATCGAGTGCTCACGCACTGCCCGGGTCCAATCTATGAGCTGCTTTCAAATATGGTCACTGGGTGGCATTGCGACCGCCCAGCTACGTCATCAATTTTTGGGAAGGAGATATTGAATGAGACCGCCCTTTTTTGTCCTTGAAATTACACTGCCATCAAGGAGTTTCTTGCCCAGTGGCGTTGTGTGCGAGTATCCTTGTCTCCCACTAGCGGCAGTAAGCTCGTGTAAAGTGAAAAAACATTCCAATTGAATATCGCTGCACCCCCCCCCCCCCCTTTAAGCTGAAACGAAGTAGAGAGAAATTGGATTTCCAAATTGTATAGTTGTGAAGTGTATATAGCAGTCTCGCGATGATATGCGGCAGCCCAATAAATTGTTAGAGCCCGCATGACTGATGAAGCACAGAGTTGTAAATTGAGGCCGCATAACAAGCGCACGTAGAATTGAATATAACTTTAGCCTCCCGAGACAGTATTTTGCGAAGTTTCGGGCTCGTGCAAGCTGATGTCCTAACGTAATAAAAATTAGAAATATATTGTCTCTTCTTCGCGCTATTTATGTGTAATAAGTAAAATCAATGCGAGCATCTCTAGTAGAGAAATACAGACCATAACCAACCATGTCCTTAACAGTTAACCGCCCGACGTTTCAAAATCAATTCGTATTTTTCATCAGGGTCAACTCTTTGCACGTGGAGAGCAGCAGCTTCTTTTCCATCTACGGTGTGTCGTTTGCTTCACTCACTTTCTCTTCTTCAAGTGCCCTAGTCCGTTGGCATACACCGGTGTTTCAGTGCCTGTCGACTTCTTTAACTGGACCTATTGAAATGACATGTAAGCAGTGATGGAGTGCGGGCGAGCTAGTAATGAATCGACATCTTGTAGGCCCTGATAAGGGGGGGGGGGGGGGGAGGGGGTGGGGGCTCCAAAATGTTTATGACATGATTGGTGAAGGTCTGTATTTCTCGAATTTTCGGCCCAACCAGACGGAGTTCCGTCAAGCGTGTTTACGTTTAGAACATGCATCTCAATATATTTCTTTTTGCAGTAAGGCTTCGTGTATCGGATTATTTAGAAGAATACCATTTATTATCTCTCTTCCTGCACATTTTGCGTATTTGCTTTCAGGTCCATAACGTGAGCACACAGTCCTTTCGGGCATACCCAGCGGCCCAATGTTTCACACTATCAAAGAGCGAGAAAAAAAAAAAAGCATTTCCGCAGACGCAACAGATGGCATATTTTCGAGTATCGTCCTCCCGTGTCGCTTTCAAGCGACACGGGAGGACAATAAGCGACACGGGAGGGTGAGAACTTCATACAGTCAAATTTATTAATGACAAGAAAAATATTTTATTACTGCCTGAAGACTTGACAACATAAATGAAGGACCGATCACCCTAAAGATATACATCATAATTAAATGCACCCCCAAATTATCCGAAATATGCTCTGAAAATCTTTACCGGCGTTTTTATCCTCAATAGGCACATCTATAATGGATTTGAGAGTTCCTGACGCATATTCAACTTCCCAAACCTATAGAAGTATGTTGCCTCTTTTATGTGATGGAAAACAATTTTTAGTGTCTGTGGGCTGGACGAAAACAAAGTACACAGTGGCGCGTGGCAAAAATATGACGATTGCGGACGCAGGCTGTCAGAGAGTGAGCAGTGAAGTAGCTGCGATTTTGAGCATGAAACACTAATATTTACTGTTTAACAATAAAGAAAAAAACAACAACAAGGGTGATGCTTTTTCGCAAATTCAATTGACCGGCATCTTGTCAAGAACAAACCTCAAACGCCAAGCTATGTCGATAATGT